TTTCTTTGATTCCAACACTTCTGCTCATCTATGAAATTTACCAAACCTCTTTATTTTTCCAAAACTACAAAACTAAACCTGCTTAATAACTTAATGACAACCTCAATTTAATATGTGTTTTTTGTGGTATTCAATATGTATTTGGTACTTCTTTCGTTTATTAAATAAATATTTATATTTGATTTGTCTTTAAAACTGCGAAAAGCAGTTGAGAAATCATTATTGACAATTAGGCGTTATATCAACGGAGGGGGAAGCGTTAAAATGAACATTCCCCCAATGATTGGTGTACACATAAATCAAAACTCACTTTTATGAATATCAATACATACAGATGAATATAATAAGAAAAATGATGATTTAGTGATGACATAAAGGCATTTTAATAAATACTTATTATGAAACATCCAAGGAATAAAACACATGCTTAAGCTAATCTAGATAATTAAACTTTAAGTTCCCTTTAATCATCTTCATCTTCTTTAGTAGGAACTTGGGGTTTCAGATAATCAAGATGCCTCCACATTCAAACCCATTCAGATTAATTTAACCCACATTTGGTTGAATAACTTTACAGTGAATTGAACTTACTAGAAAAGGAAAAGAAATTGGATAACCAAATCTGCCATGAACAGAGGAAAAGCTTCTGCATATGCGGATCCATACTTTAAGGTTAGTTAAAAAGATGTAGGGCTGCTGAGAAAAGAGAAAAAAAAAAATAAAAAATAAAAAATTTCAGCCTTTCTTAGGATGAATTTAGAGAATATTGTTGAAGGGAAGCTGATCGGCAGAAGGATTTGACATGGTGGGGTGGGATTTGTTAGGGAATCATAAGAACATATCTTCCTCTTTTGCTCCTTTTGCTTGTCTCTATTCATCATAGATCTTTTCATCTCACTTTTTAATACAGACACTGCACATATTTATTGGCTCGGTTTGTCCTTCAACAGTGCTAATTATTGCCTAGTATAGGGGTCCAGCTTTATATTGCATTTAAAATTTATATTCTTTTTTAATGTAAAATATTTACATAATTAATTTATCTAATATCCGTTTAAAGAAAACTGGTCTATAACTGTTTCATACAAGCAATACCCACAACAGCAATCAGCTTGTTATATATACTCTTGGGATTGGTTGATTAAATCATCTAATATCTCTGTAACTAGCCCAATTTTGTTACATAGTAAATCCATCCAGCCCATTTTTTACGAAAAAAAAAAGGGAAAAGCCTATTTCAATCCAATCTGGGCTATCCAATTAATATCACCCGATGGTTGGACTTCACAGACCCTTTTTTGGTAAGGGGGCTTCATGAAATCTTGGGCTTATGAGTGAAATCACAGCTGCATTTGTCTTCATTGGTACAAATTGGTATGGATTTTTTGTTCAATTAAAATAAAAGTCCAAGCATTTACACATAATTAAATGAAAATTTCTCTAAAGCCCATTTTGATAAATAATACCCTTGCTCCTCCTAAACTGAAATTGGTGGCAGCTTTTCTGACATACTGAAAGAGAAAAGGGCAAAAAAAAAAAAGAAACAAAAAACAGTGAAATTAAAAAAAAATGAAGCAGAGGAATCAGCATCTAAGCTTTTCTTGGTTGGATTTTTTTGTACACTTTCGAAAACTATACAGCTTTATTAAGTGATTGCATATTCTACTTTGTCCTAGTTATAATTTTGTTAACACTTTTATTCAAATCAAACTGTCCTAACTAAGTAAGATAAAGATAAACGGAAAACTGACATATAAGGACGAATTCATATCTTCCTAGAAGCATTCAAAGGGTACAAAGCTGCATTGAGAATTGGTTCTTAGTGTTCCATGATTGAGCTAACACATAAAACTGGATTTATTTGTTCTTTTCGCTTTTTCTTTTTCTCTATTTTACAACTAGAATAGCTTCAGGTGGGAGGGCTGGGGATCAGACCCGACCCGCATGCCCATATGCTCTTTCTTGGAGGGACTTGAATAAAATCCGAGTCAATTTAGGTGAGGTCAGGCAAGACATTCTTCGAGTTCAAACTGACCCGGTTTGACTTGACAAGACCCAACCACCAATACAGCTTTTTCTCTCTTTTTTCTTTATTTAAAAATATATCTGCTTCGTTAGCTAGTGCTGACTCACATATGAAGAATAAAATTAATTTTGTAGGCTAAATATCTATTAAGTAATATTTTTTCAATTTTAACATTATTTATATATAATTATTTTTAATGGGTACATTAATTGTTAATACATAATTAACATGCTTAATTTTCACCATTTTTGTGGGGTGGAGGTGTATTAAATCGAGCTGATAACCTAAGTTTCTCAAGTGTAGTTGGTCTTCCAACCAATTGTTGAACTCTGAATAGAATTTTATGTTAATTAATTCTAATGTTTGTTTATCTACCAGAAGAAAAGGTCATTAGGTGCTATTAGATAGGCTGCTAGGGCACAGAGCCTCACCCCATGGGCCTTTAGATAACACGTATCGAACCCATACTTACTATGTATCAACTACCATTTTCTAAGCCCATAAAAAATTAGCAATAAAAAAATGGAAAAAAAAGAGGGTAAAACAACCAACCATGTCTAACGGATCATTCATTATTTCCTCCATCTTTTGTAGACATGATAATGAATTGTTTTTTGTTTGTATTCGAGCTTGGCTCAAACCCATGAGCTCCACATCGGGACCCCTTGCCCTAAAGTAGGTCTAGCCTGTTAATAATTAATTATATGGTAAACGTTTAGCAAAATAAGAAATTATTCCATGCCAAAAATCAGTGAAGGTGAGGGTGAGTTATGACATAATTTGTCAATATATGGCATGGCAATATTATGAATGGACCCCTAATCAAATCATGAGATCAAATTCTAACTTATCTTAGTAGAAGAATGACACTTAACCCTAACTCGGACTCTAAATAGTGTATGGTTGTATTTGTAGGACCCCAGAGGAGCACGTGGCCCCAACTTGTCTTGGGGCTATTAAGACAAACTTAGCCAAAGGTGTCCTAGCGTGGGGCACCCATTGTTGGGTCTACCGAAGCATACCTCCCCACCAAAAACGGAGAGAGAGAGGCCCAAAAATAGACAGCCTTGTTCCCATGTGCACAAATTTAAGAGCAACCTTCCAAAATACCANCCCCCCCCCTCTTCTCACCCAATTTCATTTCTTGAAAATAAGGATTCAACTTCTCTATTCTTTTCAACAGCAAAAGTCAAAATGAATTAAAGAGAATTAACAATGGATATAGAACGGAGAAACAGGGTTCGTGTAGCCAATTCCATATAGACGAGATAAGACTTTGATGATGATGATGATGATGATAGCACATATTCATGGATTTTCTAGCTATCTTATTTCAGCCATATTGATACTGTAAGTGTAATGGGCAACTTGACCATCCCCCAAGAAGGAGACCTTCTAGATTGGTCCTATGTGTTCACATGAACTCCATACCCACCATTTAATAAATTCTCGCAAGAAAAAGGCTTAGTTGGTCATGGCTGTTGGGCTGAAGCTTGCCCCATGAATAGAGGGTGGAGAGGGGAACAAGTGGAGCCCTTTTCAACCCCAACTCTGCTGCCACGTTTTAGATATCTGGGTCATTTGGAATTCTTCTCTAAACTATTTGGTATTTTCTTCTACACAATGGTTTGGTTGGGCTTCCCCTCTCAGCTGCCATCTTGTTCTGTAGTTACGTTGGAGCCCAATTAACACCACATCTGACGACACACCAGCATAAACCAAAACGTGGAAGGAAAAAGACAGATCCATCTATTAGAAATGAAGTCTCCTACTAACCTCTTCACTTTCCCCCATTGTAATGGAAAAATTAATCTCTGAATCTGACCATACACCAGCATGAAACATAACGTGGAAGGAAAAAGACAGGCCCATCTGTTAGAAATGGAGTCTCCCCATTAACCTCTTCACTTTCCCTACTGTAATGGAAATTGGAAAGATTTATCAACCTTTGATGCAAAGCTCATTACTGTGTAAAATGTAAAAGAACTGAAAAGGCTCTAATGGGGGTATTGGGCCAATGATGAAGACCAATTCCATTATAATCAAATAGCAAATTTGTCAAAGACCCCAAATGGAATTTCACTTGGTGACTACTTTGGCTTCTACTTTTGGCAAAACAAACAAAGATAGAGAAAAGAAGATAAAGCAAAGCTGAAGCTCATTTGTTTCTTCTAACAGCATTCATGACTCATCAGCCTCTTCTATCTAATAAGTAACAACACTGCAAAGCTGAAAGCCTGAAACTAGAGCACAGACAGCATATTGCTTCATTAGCCTTAAACAATGTCAACTTCACACTTCTCTGGTTACTATTGGAGTTTTTATGTTCATTGATTTAATCTCCTTTGGAGTTCAATTGAAACCCATCAATTCTCCAGAACAAAAGACATGGAAGAATTTATTATCGACAAATTTTATATCTATCTGTACATAAATGGACACCTCATGCTCCTCTGTTATCCCCAATCATGTATTTTTTGGGAAAATGGACTAAATGGCCAAGACCTCCGGATCTTCAAGGAAAGATCCTAAATCTTTAGAGACTAAATTGCCCTCATTTCTCACAAGAGTTTTTCTCTTTGGGGACCAGAGGAAGGATAAGGAAGAAATTAGTGATGTCCTGCACTATGTACTGTTTCTGGCTTTCTGCAACAGAAAAATTTTCGGCGATTCACCTTTTTCCTGCAACTCTAATAAAGAACAACTTTAGTTTTGTTTTCTTTTTTTGTTTTTTTTTTTAATTTCTTCTCTCCTCTGTGAGATTGCCTGCCCAGAAGAAAAGTCAGAAACAATTTGGAGTGAAAATAAACAGAGGACACCTCTGTACTAATCGAATTCTTGTATGGGCAATCTCGTGAGCAAAGGGTTAAAAAAGATAAAAAACGTTTTATTCGTTGACCCTTAAATACTCCAATGGCGGCCCCTACGGCGCCGGCCTTGCAAAGCCTCTTGCTCTTATATATAGCACATAACACACCTCTCACTCACCCTCTCTCTCTCTTTCTCTCTCTCTCTCTCTCTCTGCCCCCGGCTCTCCCTCTCGCACACAGCTGTGGGAAGTGAATACAAAAAAACATACAAGGAGAAAAGCTACCAAACAGTAGAGAGGGAGCTGTGTTGTAAGAGAAGCTTAAAGCATGGAAGATAACTTCTCCTGGTTTTGGATGCCCGTGCTATGGTTCCTGGTGCCGCTGTTCGTTTTGAAGATTGTGGGTCTGCTTTGGTGGAGACCCAGAAGAATTGAAGAGCATTTCTCAAAGCAAGGAATCAGAGGACCCCCTTATCATTTCTTTATTGGTAACATTAAGGAACTTGTGGGGTTGATGCTGAAGGCCTCATCTCAACCCATGCCTCTGTCACACAACATACTTCCTAGAGTTCTTTCCTTCTACCACCACTGGAAGAAAATCTATGGTACTTTGTCTTTCTCCGTTTGGGTTCTTGGGTTTTCATCGTTTTTGGTCTTAATGGTTGGTTTCAGTTCTGGTTTCTTTCTTTTCTCTTATTCCTCCTCCTCCTCCTCCTCCACTCCTAATTTGATATGGTTCTTTTTCTTTTTTTTTCTTCGATTTTTCTCTTTTCATGAATGAGGTAAGTTTGATGTTTTACAACACTGTTCTGAATGGTTTGAAGCCATTTGAACTTTCCATATTGAGTTTGTGTGATCTCTCCATCTCTCTCACTCTCACAGCTTGTTCAGCTTTCAGTCAGTGGATTATTGAAACGCTGAGCTTGGATTTCTCTCCTCTCCTTTCAACTTTTGGAATTCAAAATGAAAATTGATCTTTTATATTGAAAATTATGTCTGTTGGTATAGTTCTAGTGGTAAGGTGAGGTGTGAATTGTGTAGTTGGGTTTTTTTAGTTATTCTTTCATTGAATCTTCTGGTCTTCTTCACAAAAATGATATACACTTGGATGCTAAGTGCTCATTAGTATTTATGTTTTCTTTTAATTGTTCTTTGTTCTATATGAGCTTGAATGTTGATAATGAAGTTGGAAATGTTTGTTAGTGATGATAAGTAATGAGTTGTCCTCTTCTCTCATTTTTTTTTTGTTTTTCCTTTCTCTCTCTCTCTCCCTCCTGTAGGGTCTACTCTATCTACCCATGTTCATTTTAAACTTTGAAAATAGTGGTTATGTTTTCTTTTATATTTCCTTTCAGAACATCCATGTCTATTATTTCTTCAGTGTGGTATCCAACCTAGTTGCAGGGCTGCTTATTTCTTCAGTGTTGCAATGTACTACTTCTGCTGCACTGTATTATCTCCTCTCTTTCTTTTATGCAAGGCTTATTCTTATCTTGATTGTTTTCATGTGACATTGGAACTGTGGCTCGTTTCAGGTCCAACCTTTCTTGTATGGTTCGGACCCACACCTCGTCTCACTGTCTCCGATCCAGACCTCATTCGAGAAATCTTCGCTCTGAGATCAGAATTCTATGAGAAGAACGAGTCTCACCCACTTGTCAGACAGCTTGAAGGCGATGGACTGTTGAGCCTCAAAGGCCAAAAATGGGCTCACCACAGAAAAATCATCACACCAACCTTCCACATGGAAAACCTCAAAGTGAGTTCCAAAGGAATTTTGGTCCAACACAGAAAAATAATAACCCATTTTTATCAGTTTATCCAATTCTCTCTTCTGTTGATCTAATCTGTTTTTTGTCTTTTTGATCAGCTCCTGGTACCGGTTATTGGAAAAAGCGTGGTGGAGATGTTGGACAAGTGGTCAGAAATGTCGAATTCCGGCGAGGTGGAGATCGAAGTTTCCGATTGCTTCCAAACCTTGATTGAAGAAGTGATCACGCGAACTGCCTTTGGCATCAGCTACGAAGATGGGAAGGCGGTTTTCCGGCTGCAAGCTCAACAAATGGTTTATGCCGCCGAGGCATTTCGGAAGGTTTTCGTCCCCGGCTACAGGCAAGTTGCCCATTAATCTGCACTTTTCTTTTCATTAAAACAATCATTAATCCTTTCAAGGCTTCAGGAATCAGGATTCCATTGGAGGCCAGGCCACCAAGTACGATTATATACGGAGTTCTTAAAATATGGTATCTTGATTATTTTATGATTTTTTCCTTTTTCAGATTCTTCCCCTCTGAAAAGAACCGGAGTTCCTGGAGGTTGGATAAAGAAATAAAGAAGTCTCTAGTAAAGCTGATTGAACGCCGGAAGGAGAACTCCTGCAACGAAATGCTGGATGGATGCCCCAAAGACCTGTTGGGACTGTTGATCAGAGCAAGCACAAATGAAACAGCTCAAAGAAAACCCAGTTCGCCTCCGTCGACGATCACTGTCCATGACATCGTCGAAGAATGCAAGGGCTTCTTCTTCGCCGGGAAACAAACGACGTCGAATTTGCTGACGTGGACAACGGTTCTCCTGGCAATGCACCCTGAGTGGCAAGAGCTGGCACGTGAAGAAGTGTTGAGGGTGTGCGGAGCACGTGATATTCCCAGTAAAGACGACATTACTAAGCTTAAAATGGTAAGCAACTGTTTACTAAAAAAGACAAAAATTAAAAATGGTAAGCAACTAAGCAACAAGCAAAGTGACAAACGTGTAATTTCAAGAACTTTGTGTGGGCTTTTGAAAATTTTCAAGTAAAAGAGGCGTATGATAATTAGATAATAATTTACCCAGTAAAAAAAAAAATCTTGAGATTCTAAGGGTAATTTGGTCTTTTCATGCAAGCAATTCTAACGTTTAACTGTATAATGTGGTGCAGCTGAGTATGATAGTGAACGAATCCCTAAGACTGTATCCACCCGCAATCGCTACGATAAGGCGGGCCAAGGCTGATGTGGAGCTTGGGTGCTATAAGATTCCACGTGGTACGGAGCTCTTGATACCAATCATAGCCGTTCATCACGATCAGGGACTGTGGGGCAACGATGCCAACGAATTCAACCCGGCTCGGTTCTCGGACGGGGTGGCCCGCGCAGCGAAACATCCAATGGCGTTCATACCGTTCGGCCTTGGGGCCCGCACATGCATCGGCCAGAACCTAGCGATCCTACAGGCAAAGCTTGCCATCGCCATCATATTGCAAAGATTCTCGTTCCGATTGGCACCCAACTACCGACACGCTCCAACGGTGCTGATGTTCCTCTATCCGCAGTACGGTGCACCGATCATATTTCGCCACCTGTCGGGCCCCACCACCTCCTCCGATCATGGATCCTGACACGTGGGACATCGCATTCCCAGAGAAGAGATGGAGCAGATCCTTCCCCTTTTGCATTTGATTTTGTGTTTGCAAAAGACCATTTTACCCGTGAATATTCCCTTCATGTAACTGCCACTACTAGTAGTAAAGTACTAACCCCCCTCCCCTCTTTTCTACTGCTGCCCCCTCAAAAAAAGCCTTCAGGCTTGCTTTGTTAGGTTGTTAGTTTTACAATTTTCTACCCTCTCACTGTATCTCTATGTATGTATGTATGTAATCTATACTTCCAATACATTTTTTTGTAAATCTAACACATTCATGAATGTTAAAATGGTTCATGGTTGTCATCAAATCTCTCTCTCATTACCTACAACTGAAAAATAAACATAATGTAGATTTTGCTTAATACAATCTCCATTTAGGGATGGATGTATGGCAATAGAGTAGGTTCTACAAGGGTGTCATAAATTTTAGACCTTCTATACCTCTCCAAATCTTTAAACCTATACTTTTTCCTAAACACATTGGATTGGATTTTCAGAATCCAAACTCTCTTCACACATAAAAATGCAAAACCTTTCCCATATTTAAGAACGGGGCAAATCAGATTGGACATTTAAATCTAATTTCCTATTATTTATTGTTATATATAAGCAATTAAACAAGAAAAATAACATAGACAAACATCAAAATTTCTAACTATTTGATTGAAACATGTAAAAAATGCATAAAATATTAATTATCCTTCATATAAAATTCAAAAAAAAATTATTAAATTCAACACATAATGTATGAATTCATATGCCTTACAACTAGTAGGGGAGCCAAGAGTTTCTTTTTTTCTTGGACTTAAAGTAATGAAAATGTTATATTAAGTCAATTATATTATAAAGATCCACAACATAAACAACACAAATATTATTAATAAAGTTTGGAATGCATAAATAATATGAGGGGTGAGAGTATTGCCATATCTTTGGGATTTGGGTTGGTTATAGGCTTTGTAATAATTGCAACAGTTTATGATAACTAGGCACCATTAGGCACCACATCAGCATAACAGTGAAAAAACGTTCTAACTGTTGGGAGAAGCTTTAAAAAATAATTTCCCCAAACAGTAGGTGTGCACAAAAACTGAAGTCACCTTTTGCTATTCTCGATGGGTACAGAAGAGCATGAGAGGGGAAATCCTAAAGTGGCACCTATGTGGCAGAGTTTATTGAAAAATGCCCACACTTCCAAACACGGGGTGAGAGTTTGGATCTATTATAGCTTTTTTTGAAAGAAAAAAATATATAGAGAGAGCAGCCCTAAACATTTTAATGGGACTTCAATTTGTTTTTTCAATATGCACTCTGATATCCAATTATATTTAATATAATAATGCATATATAGATATTCAATATATATATATATATATATATATATATATAAAGAGAGAGAGAGATTAAAAATTGGTTTTTTATTTGGGAGAATGACGGTGCAGCTAAGGGTCAGAATTTTTAGGCCCAAAGTACAGTTGGGGTAGGTGTCAGATCGGATTGATGCCAATTCATGGGTGGGCATTGATGCATAGAGTGAGGATGAGAATATTTGACATTTTGAATGTTTATAGATCTACCGTGAAATTCGAATATCTACATTGGGCTTATCCGTACTTTTCCGTTTTTATTTTTAATGACAATAGAAGATAATTGGATTAAATCCAAATCCAACCCAAGTCCGATATTTTGACTTCCAAGTTGAATTAAGATGTAACTAAGTTGAATTAAGATGTAACTGAATCCGAATCCGACTCATTTACAGCCCTAGTGGTGAGTAAATAATCTTGCTCCCTTGCATTGATACACAAAACAGGCTGCAGGTTGCAGCGAGATTGAGGACTCCAGATTATATACTTGCTTTGGGTGAACAAATGTAGAAGGTATTGTTCACATCTGATTATAGTTTCCTAGAGAAGTTTCCTAGTCCTTTGCATTGGTCCATAAAACAGAGTGAAGCCCCAGGCTTTAAAATAATAGAATAACATGAAGAAGACCTCAAAGTACCCTTCTCCATCATCAAGACAAAATGTATGTTATTTCAATTTGGTTTTAGTTCCCTAGAGATGTTCTATAGTTAATTGATTGATAAGCCTTGGAACAGGACACCTTGAACCAATAATGCAGTTCAACTTCAATCAAAGCCAAAGATTGCCCAAGTTTTGATAATAATTATAGTATAATCAGTGGTAGTATGCTTTGTAGTTCATGCATGATGCAATCTGAGCCATTGGATGAAGCAGCTGGTGATCCTCAATTTATTGTTTAACAAGTTCGAGCCTTTGATGTTCAATTAAATGCCTGAGCCGAGGCAGGCGCTTGGTAAACATCAAAGTACTAATACTTTACATTGTTTTAGTTACCAAGAAAAACTTGCATGACCCGAGGCATCAAATTTCCTTTGGGAGTTGTATCATTATGCTTCCTTCCTCCTCCTTTTTTCCTCTTCGGTTCTTCCTTCCTTATCAAATCAGTTTAATAATCTCCTTTTTAGGGGTTAGGGTGCAGTTATGGCGCAGTGAGAACTGTTGGGTTGTAAAACAAATTTCCCCTTCTATTGGGAATTGGGATCTTATTTTGTTATTAGAGCTCTAGTGTAGCTTGTTCTCAGTGGTCCCATAAAAGCATGTGGTTTGGGATCCTTTTTCTGTTCATACTTAGAAGAATTGCTTTTGATGAACAAGCACAAAGCATGAAAGCATTCTCCATGGAGCATGTGCTTCATTCCTTACATGGCATGACTACCCAATTTTCAAATTCTCAACCACTCTTCTAACCCTTGACATGTCTTCTCCCTTCACTTGTGCCAGACAGAGATAATAAGACGCATTAATGGCGATGATTTCCTGTTTATTCTTCCTTATCACGATGATTATCTCGAACAAAGCACAACAAAGATTAGTGGTTAATTTTATTTAATAACATTTGATTAATTTCATTCTAAATTGATCAAGACTTCACCAAGTTATACATATATTTTAGTAGGTATATGGACAGACAAACAGATAGAGAGAGAGAGAGAGAAAGAAAATAAAGGGGAGTTAGAGGGAGTGAGGACAGTATAATTTATTAGATACTGGAAAATCTTCCAGGACTACACAGGAAGAGTCGGGCGATACACTAATTAGAAAACACGACACAAATTAATTAAAGGAATCAGCTCCATCTGGGCAAGATCCCATTACAACTAAGCATGATTATTGACTTAGTGCTGTAGTGCAGTTTCTTCTACTAATCAAATGGCATATGGGATCAAGCAATTAATTCTTACCCAGATACTGATTATGAAAGGAAAACTGGAAAAGCATGGTAGTGTGGCAAGGCTCAGCCTTGGCCAACCACACGACGTGAGTCGTGCCCATCGGTCTACTACAACGCCCCGACAAGGCGGCTTGAATCAAGGGCAGACATAGAAGGAGCATTTCAATTGCTTTGGCATGAGGGCAACAACGGGAGACAATGTGGATTAAATAAAGCAGCTTGATTACAAAGAGGACTACTCTGATTAAACCATGGATCTGGGGGATTGCTGGGGATCTGTAAATGTGCTCTAATCTAATCTGTAAGTTAAGAGCTCAATGAGCTGGCCTCCTTGGGATGTAAAATCTAGAGCCTTTGTACGTATTGTACTTACAAACTACGTGCTAAACTACAGGTTTAAGAGAAACCCATAAGTAAGCAAGCAAGATTTTATGGTTTTTTAAAGGTTAAAACAAAAAATATTGCTTAACCTGGATTCTGTAGATCATTGTTTTTAAAAACGAACCGGTGGCCCAACCAGTCAGGGGTCCGGTTATTGGTTCGAACAGTCTGACCGTTTGACCGAATGGCTGGCTCGTTCTGACAAAAAATTTTAAAAATTTGGAAAACGGTCAAAACAGTTCAAACAGTTAATCAACCGGTTCAGCGATTTATTGACCAAAATCAACGGTTTTGGTGAAAAAAACGGTTTCAAGAGAAAACGGAAACGGTCAGGTGACTGATTCCTGGTTTTTCCGGTCTGACCATCTGGTCCGGTCCGGTTTTGAAAACCATGCTGTAGATTTTATCATTTTAATGGTGAAATCTGAGATCCTGTGTTATGGGTCCTACAATTAAGGTGATTAGGTGGAGAAATTTTACTCAAATTTAGAACTAATTAGGTGGTTTGGCCCTGTATTTGGTGTACTGTGGAATGCTGTGACTTCTTGAATAGTTTTTTATGACATCTCATCAACAATCTTAACTCTCATTTTTTTATCGTTTCTGAATATATTGTCTCATTGTGTTGACAGGATCTGAGGATTGCCTAGATATTGTAAGTGAAGCTTGCCAAGCACAGGCCTTTGATGAGTGGAAGCCTCTGGTTTGGAATAGGAGAAGTGAGATTGGGTTTTGGACATTATATAATGAAGAAAAAGGAAAAGTCTGAGTACATCTGTCCCTCCCCAAACTCCGCATTAGCGTGGGAACCACGTGCACTGGGCTGCCCTTATCTATCTAAGAAGAGTGTCCAGTTGTGTGTATGTAAGAAATACATAAAATCATCATTTCTTCAATAAATTTACTTGGCAAGTAAGTTTACATTTATGAATCTAATTCTAGAATTTCATGTAGAAGAATGTTCTGGGTCTCTCTCCATCTGATTCACGTGACTGTTCTTCAGCTGTAGCCAAGAGGAGGGGATCATCACATGGCCAGAGCCAATCATCATGAGAACCTAAAGAGACAGAGCATCATGATATAAATGTACAACCCATTTGTAAACTTTCTAACTACCATACCCTTATGGTGTTAGCCAGTTAGAGCGAAATCGGTTGCATTCTAATAAATAAAAATGGATCGAATACCTAATAATACTATGAAGTGAAATGGATATGTTATAATGAAAAAGAGGAATGACAACATGGGTTTGTAGATGGCCCAGTTATATGCCTATTCAGCCATGCCCTCCATAAATGTTCCAAGTACGTTTTAGTTACTTTAGCTTCTGATTTTTTGTTCTTGGTGAAATATCAACGTTTTCATGAAAACCCATTTGATCAAATTTAGGGAAAGATTAATATAATTAGTTTAGACAACCAAATACAATTTATTAGTATTATAGCTTGTATTCATATCTACATATCTGAGAGGCTAAATAGCCAGACAGTTCCCACTGACCATGGCATCTTTTCACAAGGTTCAGATTTACAGAAAAGAATTGCCTACATCAATTACTATCAAAATAATTGGTATTCTTTAAGGTTTTTCAGT